GGTGGGGCTGGGCGGGGCGGGGCGGCAGCAGGGCTCCAACGCCGGCCGGCGTGGCGGGGCGTGGCGTGGCAGGTCGGGGCCGGGGCCGGGGGGGCCCAGGAGCTCCTCAGTCAGACTCCGGACGCAGGACGAGCAAGGTGTGTGCAGGATAGCATGCGTGTGCCGCGTTAGTGTGACCTGCGCGACACGACCGTGACCGACCGTGACGAGTCGAGCGCCGCTGCAGTGCGACAAGGAGTGACATCGTGACGGTGACGGCGCAGAGGATACACAGCTCGCCGCAGCGCACCCCGTCGACTGCGAGCGCGGCGCGCGCGCGCCATCAGGTGGGTCACGATACCCCGTCACGACAACAGTCGCCGTCGAGGGCGTCCCGGGCGCGTCCAAACGACAAGCCGGCCATACACATCGACTGGACATGGCGCGGACGGGTCGGTCACAGCGCGGGCAGGTATGGCTCACAACGCGAACATTCGTGTCACACCCTGGTCACGACAGTCGCCGCGTTCAGAGGACGCACCCGTCCACAGTTCCTCGCGTGGAGGTGTACACAGCAGCCTAACGGTGTACTGACCGATCCGGTCCTGACTGCGGCAATCTCCGTTTGATAATTTCATTGAATTTAACCTCCCCCCCCCCAAAAAAAAAAAAGATATGAAGCAGACAATTTTATTCTTATTTCAATGAAAAATTCGGTTTACGGACGGCGGATTTTGACCACGCGTTCAATATGCCATCGTACGTAAACCTTTTGCTTCGAAGACGAGGGCGCGATTCAATGGGCGGTGGGCGCCACCTGGAGGCCGCACAGGGCGGGCACGCGCAATACACACTTGCGTTAGTTGCGGGTCACTGACGTCGCGTCGTCCTCGCGGAGGGGATGAAAGAAGGTGGGGGAGGGGGCAGATCCTGGTGGAGTCCTAGTGGAGTCCTAGCGGAATCCTGGCGGAATCCTGGCGGAATCCTGGCGGAATCCTGGCGGGGTCCTCCTGCCCTGGAACGCCGAGCCAGCGAAGGGGCAGTCGATAAAGAATTGGGTGAGAGTAACAGCGTGTGGCTCGGGGCGCGCAACTACGGAAGACAGGAGACTAGGTGATGGCCACGTCCCCCCCATTCATATACATTTATAATATTGTAAATAAGTGATGGGAGCCGACTGACGCGGCAGTCGGGCCGCTAGGCCCTTTTGTATTCAGTCGTCAGTAAAATGATTAAATTCGTTCTT